GTTACATACGATGYGGAGGCACTGGATCACGGGTGGAAAAGATAAAGAAGCCTTTCCCACGTTCAGTGACGTGCTCAATTCCACCAAACCCGGGCCCAGAAGGTGGGGTGCACATGGGATGGGGAAAAGGAAAGCTTCTCTTCACGTTGGAAATGGAAATGTGTTAATGAAACAACATAATGGAGGCTTGTTGGATGGTTTTAACTGTATTGCTTTTATAAGCAGAGAAGCCAATTGCCACATTAAGTGTCCRAGCTTGAATTTATCAGGTCTCTGACTGGGTTTACAAAGTTCCCAACCTGTCAAGAAGTGCTCCTTGAGGAGGGCAACACACACGCAGAGGAATGCATTTCCTGCACCGTGGCRTTGGGGCCTTCACACAAACAGAACTCACTTCCAGATGAATCTATCAATGCCCAATATTACAGCACAGATTTGAGATGACTTTGTTACACTGAAGGACAGCACTAACAGGAAGAGAACTCACCCAGAGGCAGATTTTGAAATCCACACTTGAGGCCATGCTGGTACCAAAACACAACAGGAAAGAAAACAAACCTCAGGCTACCTGCACTGKCACTGTCCCTAAGACTGAAGTCAGATGAAAATACCTGGAAGTATTTTGAACCATAAAATAAAGCATTTTATGAGACAAGACAGGTAAAAGACCAAGCAGCTGGACACTGCATAAARTAGAAGAATAAAAATATTACTTATGCACTGGGAAATGTTATTAACATTTTCTATCAGTGTTTCTTAGACACYATGGGTTAATCCCATGTTCTGATACTATTCTCTGGCAGGCATTTGCATTAGAAAAATGACACATTTTCTTAATGTACCAAAATTCGTGGGGAAAAGAGAGGGCAGAGAATAGCAGAGAAAACACAACTCCTCTGCTCCAGGCAACAAGATTCCAACAATTTCAGAAACTGAGTGTAAGAGCAGGAATTCTGAGACTCGTTAAGAATACTCCTTATGTCCATTAGTGGCTACAGATTAACTGCTGGTTTGGAGGTTTAGGGTTCTGTCCTACTCCTAAAAAAACAAAGGATTGATTTGATTAATTTGTAAGTCTCAATTTTCTGTATTTCACTCGATTTTATCCATGAGGGACAGGTCACTCTGTARTGTTATTGGTTATGTCAACATAGCCCCGAGAAACCATTATCCATTTACGACCAATTAGCAGGGACAGATCATCAAATCCCAGAACGGTTTGTGTTGGAAGAGATCTAAAAGCTCATCCCATTCCACCCCCTGCCATGGGAAGGGACACCTTCCACCATCCCAGGCTGCTTCAAGCCCTGTCCAACCCAGCCTTGGATGCCTTCAGGGATGGGGCAGCCACAGCTTCTCTTGGCACGCTGTGCCAGGCTCTCATCACCCTCCCAGGGAAGAATTCCTTCCTAAAATCTAACCYAAACCTGCCCTCTTTCATCCCAGATGGATTAGTCAGACCTCTAAACTGCTCCTGCCGGTAACAGGCATCAATTAACAAACAGCAATGACTTCACAGAAACGGGATTTCAATTTGCACTTCAAAASTGGCCCTGCAAGTGCTGTAATAACACCAATTTACCTGGTGGGCCATGGCTTGAGGCTTCCTACGCCCAGGCTGCCTGGGGATCGATGAGCTGCAAGCCACGGAGCTGCACATGCTTCTGTCTTTCTCCWTYCKAAACAAACCCCAAAACCTCAAACTGGCTTTGCACCTCTTCTCAGGCAGCATCCACCACCACGATTTGCATGTGACAAACAGCTGGCTGCGCTGCAGGAGCCAAACTCAACCACGACAAGCCCCAGTAAACAGCACTTTCAAGTGYTCTCCGAGAAGAAAACTCTGCTTTTGAGGATATGTCTAAATTGCAGCCACACAAGTGCAGCTCATACTTGTGCTAGCTTTAGGCCAGCAAGCACAGCCTGTGTCAGCACGGGTTGTAAGAGACAACTGGCGGTCCCGGCTGTGTCCCCCAGGTCCCATGGGAATGATTTCCCCACTGCCAAGTCACACAGGAGTGGAAATACACGTGTTTTCAGCACAGAGTATCTAAACCTGCCTACGAGTTACAGTTGCCTTTTTCACATGAAAACAAACAAAAAAAACAACCCATTTTTTGCTTGTTGGGTGGTTAAGACATAGGAATCCCACTCTAGGTTGCACTTGTTTACAAGCAACACAAAATACTCCAGTGCAAGTTAAAATCCCAGCWTTAGGAGATGCTTCAAAATGTTCGGTCTGTACTTTCTCAAAAACCCAGAGGTATTTAGCACAGATYACAGGAAAAATCTCTGGTGATGAAGAGGCAGGAGCCAATGACCACAAGGTCCCTCCCAGTTCACTGTTTCTATGGGGTTTCCAAAGCAGAAAAATTATCTCTGGACCAGAAACCAATTCACGATGAGCTGCCATGATCTTGGCATCAAACAGGTAACATCTGTGGTTTATCTGCAATTCCCAGCCTGGTGAAAACATTACYGTGGGCAGCAGGAGGAATGCCCTGGGAAAACAGGCAAGGCAGCTGGGAGAGGTGATAGSAGTCAAAGAGCAAGGGGTAAAAATCAGGCAACAAAGACTGGAAGGAAAAAGAAACAAATACACACAAAATACACACGGTCAGAAGAGAAGCCAGGTCTTAAAATCTTAAGCTGAAGGTGTTATGGCACTGCAAGAATTAATAGTCACAGAAAGCAAGCTGTCAGAAAGGGCTCTGGCTCCCCACAGGCAAACAAAACTTGGGAATGCATCAACAACATCCCACTCATCAGCTAAACAGTCCCAGAGATCCACAAATATCCAAGGGAAGATGAAGATGATGATGATCTTTCCCAACCCATCTGAACAGCACACAAACCACCCTCCAATTTAGCTGTGTATCACTGAGACACAGTCTAAGTGAAKATAATTCAACAATCATGTTTTTCTTGTTTCCTGTATTTGCTGCTTTTGCTCTGACTTGACAACTGCCAAAAATCCATCATCACGTTTAAACAAATATGAGAGCTAACAGTCCCCACTTGAAAAATCAGASAATTCCAGAAAACTGCTTTGGACTTCCCTTCTGCAACAAGGCATCAAGAAGTTCAAGAACTGTCTGTACACAGCTGACTGCTGGAAAAATCTGGTCAATGAGGACTGCCAATCACCCCTGCTCCAGAATCCCTGAACAGTGAGCTGAACCCATGCAAACTCCCACTTCTGSAACCAGGAATGGAAAAGAAGAGGCATCCAAAAGCCCTGAGCGGATACAGATAACACTGCATGTAACAACTCGGTTCTCAGATGGTACATGATGTTAAGGCATTTGTCAGGGGGAGATGAATCTCTCTCCCCATCATCACATAATCAGACTGTGGTTCATTTCTGRTGCTATTCCTGCATAGAAACGAGCTTAAGATTACTCAGTACTTGATAAAACCCGACAACCCACGTTCCAAGATGTTACTATCTTGGATATCATAGATTTCTCCATGAGAACAGAAATATCTRAGATAATCAGCTGCATGTGACACTCCTCTCAGGAAACAAAGTTATTTAATCTCCTTCACACACATGTGAGCGTTGCAGCACAAGAAACCCAGACATTTTAAAGCCAAGTTATCATATCATATTAACACATGCAATCTATCAGACTCACACAAAGGCAGCAAAAGGTCACAAACTGGTCACTGAGGCACTCAGTGCTTGGATTTAAGGCACACACACAGCAACAGAACAGCGTATCTAAAGTGCTTCTCAGCATCTCTGTGAATCCTTAATATGGCTTGAACCATTTCCAGCCCCTTCAGGCTCCAAATTGTTTGGGTTAGGACCAGCATAATAGGGCATCAGGCTGTTGGCATCGAATTATTATCACCACACTGGTACGATTTTTGGTACAGGAAAGACCCTGATGTTTTTTGAGCAAGAAGAGACCTCATGTGGGGAAAACAGCTGGGAAAAAAAGAATAACACGAACCTCAACTTCCGCAAATAACTCATAGGAGTGCAATACCAGCCCAGAGGCAGGGCAGCCTCCTCCTCGCTGTCCTCACCACTTCACAAGGCTGAACCCCAGCAAGAACCACAGGGACCACAACTCAGGCACTGCCTCGGAGTGGGAGAACAGGGCTGCACTCGCCAGGGGAGAGGTGACGGCTCCTGAAACGCTCCCAAAATCCACAGGCGGGACAAGAGGGTCTCAGAACCCTGGATGGATGCAGGACAGGCAAGAAGGCTGTGCCTGTCAGCAGCACCTGAGCATCACCTGCCATCACAGCCTTCCCGCCATGAGGTCCCCACCCCTCCGCAGTGTCCCTCACTCTGTGAGACCCCCACAACGCCCCTCATGCTGTAAGGGACCCTGTCACAGCCCCCCCAGCCCTGAGGGACACCCCCAGACTTGTGGGAGTCCCCCCCTTGCAGTGTGACATCCCCAAAATGCTTCTCACGGTGCGGTGAGAGACCCCCTTCACAGCCTTATCAGCCGTGAAGGAGCACCCAGCCCTGAGCAACCGCCTCACAAATCCTCACCCCTGAGCGACCCCTTCACAAACCCCCATCCCTGAAGGAGCCCCTCACAGACCCCTCATCCCTCAAGAACCTCTCCCCACCGTGCCCCCAGCCCTGAGGGATCCCTGCTGACAGCTCTTCCCAGCCCTGAGGGACCCCCCTCAGATCCGCCCCCAGCCCCGAGGAATCCTTTTCACCGCTCCCCCAACCTTGAGGGACCCGCGCTCAAGCTCCCCCAGTCTAAAGGACCCCTCTGGCAGCACCCCCAGCCTTGAGAGAMCCCCGCTCACAGCTCCCCCGGCCCTCAGCGACCCCGCGCCCCCCTTGTGCCCCTCAGGGACGCCCCAGCCGAGCCCCCCCCCACGCCGCCGCACCAGGGGGCTTCCCCCGGACTGTACCATTCCCGCCTTACCCGGCCCCACGGGCTGCCGCGGGGGGGTTCCGGGGGGTGTTACCGCTCTCCCACCTTCCTCCCCCTCTCCCCATGCGTGGTACGATCCGCTCCTACCTCTCGGCGCCCTCACTTCGCCCTCCCGGCGGAGCCGCGAGTGGCTGGGGGGGGAGCCATAGCCGCTGCCTCTTCTTCCCGCTCCGTCCGCCCTCCCCTGCTCCCCCCCCCCCACGGGCCGGACACAGTTGGTTTATTCCGAGAAGCCGGCCGGTCTTCTCCCCTTAAACCGCTGGGTCTCGCACGTCTTCGGCCATTTCCGACCGAACCGGCGGAAGTTGCCGAAGTGGCGGCGGAACTTAACGAAGGGGGGCGGAGATAACCGAAGCGGGGGCGGAGATAGGCGAAGCGGGGGCGGAGATACCCGAAGGGTTGAGGGCGGGGAGCAGCGAGACTCTCGCCTCCGGAACCTTCCGGGAACAGCCGAATCGCCCCCAGCTCGGCTCCCGCCACTGCGCACGCGCGCCGCGCCCGAACGCTTTTTCCCGCCTAAAAGGCAGGCGCGCGCCCCCCGTCCCTCACACCCTCCGCTCCCCTCACGGAGGAGCCGCCATGTTGTCAGTGCCCGACGCTCCCTCGAAGGAGCAGCCTGAGCGTAGCCCTGTGGGCAAGAAACCCTATGTGTTCCCTTCAAACCCTGTCAGAATGTCCCCATTGAGCTCAGCTGGTCCATGCAGTGCTGTGTATCCCGCAAGAACCCCATGAGGATGCCMCCATGGAGCTCAGTCATGCCGCCGCCCTATAAAGATGTGGACACARTGGTTGCCACTGACCCCCTGAGAGACGTCCAGGTGCCTCCTGGTAAAAGGAGTTAGGATAACAACAGTGTTGTTAGATCCCTCGGAATCAATTGTGGGAAACTGATCAGCAGATACTAAAAACCACAATGGTTTGGARTTTGCTACAAAATAACATCCAGATCCAAGCTGGAGGGTTGGCGTGAGCAGCATCAGTGGTTAAATGTTGTTAAGTCAGAGGAGCTATGTGGAAATCATAGACAAGTACCAAACATAGAATGCAACAGATGGTAACTGAACCGAAAGAGAGAAAAAAAAGCAATGAAGAAATAAACGAGAGGGGAAAAGGCAAGTAACAGTGCCAGCATCTTCTCACAACAAAGCCACGTCACACAGGTTCAGTCCTCTGTTTATGCACTCTAATTTTATGTATCAGGAGCTCCATGAAAGGCATTCATATCTATGGGAATCAAATCCCACCCCAAAACACACAATCTGATAACTTTGAGGGAATTTTCACATGAAGTAATGGAGGTTTATCTCCAGCAGTAAAGAGGGTGGTGTGCTTCTGGCCACAAAGCTCCAGGAATCTCAGCTTTAATAAAACATGAGCACTTCAAAATGGTAAAAAAACACTTTTCCATCACTCTGCACTTTTTAACAGTCATTTACACATGTGTAAAAAATGCAAGGAGAAACTAACTTTTATTCAGATATGAAAAACCACTGAGGAGTGAGGCAGGGGCACAGTTTGCCCTTTGATAAGCAATACAAAGTCCAATCTCGCTGCAGGGAATGTGTGCTGTACGGAAGGGCAGGAATAGGTACTGCAGGTTCAAAGGCTCAAAGAAACAAAACTTTTCATATTTTACCAGARCAAAAATTAAAAAAAGACTATGACGATCGCACAGTATGAAGACAAAATTAACATTCGAATCAGTGAACACACCCACGTTGTCCTACCACACACATCTGTTCCCACTGTGCCACGGCTCGGGGGTTTTGTATTCCACCCTGATCTACCTGGAGCTCTGCATGAGGGAATCATTCTTTTCAGGTCCTCACCGAGGAAGAAACACCAAGGGGAGATTGTGCACTTTGGGGACAACTCAGGAGAACAATTCTTCTGCCAGCTCCCAAAAGAAAGCAAACTGTCAGGATCAGCAGCCGGTCTGGCAAAGTCTCCCTTTCAGGAAGCGCTATCAAGGCTCTTACAGATTACATTGACAGAAACACCTTTGGATTTAATCCCTTTCTCTGTGTGTTTCTCCTTCTTAGTCTATAGGAATTGGAATTAAAGAGGAGTTTTCAGCTTCCCTTCCACCAAGTGAAAAATCCACTGCTCTGCTGCCTTCTGTTTATCCCAAAAGAAAAATTAYTGCATTCAAATGCCCTCATTCCCCACCTTTTCTGTCATCCGGGCTTTTGTTTTCTCATATATAYGTCAGAAATGGATCATAAAGGGCARAGTCCATAACCTATGATTAATAATAGTTTAAACAAGAAAAAAAAAAATTGCAGATAAAGTTGCCCGACACTTTCCTGGCAAAGAGAAGCCTTTCACTCCTGTCGGCTTCCAAACCCGTTTTCCCAAAGGAACAAACTCAATTCACAGTGCCAGTCCTGTTAGAGACTTTGAAACTCCATGGTGACCTTGAGTTGAAGCTGACAGAGGGTAGAGGATTAAAAACATGAATCCTGCTGCATGGAAATGTGCAGATGCAAAACAAAGCTACCTAAAAAGCAGCCACAGCTCAGATCCTGGCTTTCTGTCAGACCTTTAGGAAGAAATTCTTCCCTGTGAGGGTGGGGAGGCCCTGGAATAGAATTCCCAGAGAAGCTGTGGCTGCCCCATTCCTGGAAGTATCTGAGACCRGTTGGAGCAACCTGGGATAGCRGAASGTGTCCCTGCCCATGGCAGGGGTGGGACTGGATGATCTTTAAAGTCCCTTACACCCCAAACCAGTCTGGGATTTTGYTCTCAGAACCACTTCTTTAGACACCTCTGTATAATTTCATGCTGGGAACCTCCCTTTTATTACCTTTCAAGTTACTCTCCACTTGGCAGCTGCAGCTGAACACAGTGAATTCCATCACACCTTTGTGTCCTTCTCTCCACTCAAATGGCCCCCACATTTCTCTTTTCCTTACCTGCACCACATTCCCTSTTCCTCATCCCGCTTCATCCTAAGCAAGTCTTGCATCCTGGTGTCTCCAATCTGCTCTGAATTACATTGAATCACTGCAAGCAGGTACTAAGGAGATTCAGAGCCAGCCAATGCACATTTCCATGGCAGACTTCCATGGCCTAAAATAACCTCAGAAAAACATGGAACAACGACGGGAGGGGGAGGACCCAGAGCTTCCATCTTTTCCCTGCYGCAATCCTTTCGGTACATCTCTTTTCATCTCTTTCTCCTCCCTTCCACAGGAGACGGCACCAAGGTCGGACCATCCGTGGATTTTACAAGTTCCATGGAATGTTTTCAGACCGCACTCTTAACCTCAGACACTCCTATCGGATTTCATAGGATTCAGCCACTTTTTAGCCCCAGGGTGCTGTAGGTGCTAAATAGATTATCTACATCTCTCAGCCACTATGGAACAACTACACAGCAAAGCTCAATTTTTAATCCTGCTGAGACTCCGACTGCTTTTGGCCATCAGGTATCCCATGGCTTCACCAGAGGAAATGTTAATCTGGAATGCTGGCCAAACTCCAGTTTAGGTAATTATATTCTGACAATTTACATTTTCCCTGCAGTTTTTTAATGGATATGGAAATTTTTTTTTTTCTTCCCTTAATTTATGACATAAAAGCAGCRGCCTGCTCGTGCTCCTGCTGTTGGAGCAGCTGCCAGGCTCTGCAGCTTAAGTAGCTGCATTTCAGGGGTAGGTAAAGGCATCTCAGTACWGTTAAATAAAGCCCTTTGAAGACCCCGTGGGCACGAGGAGTATTGTAACAATATGCCCCACTGCTGGCCATAAAGCCTGGCAAGGGCTGGAACATTAAATCAAACACCCAGGGGCAGTATCAGGCCTAGGAAAGGAAAAGTCAGCACAGGAATGGACACACAGACATAAAGGCTTTCCCCTCCCAAATCCTAATTCCGCTTTGGACTTGGTGCAGCCCCAGCTGGGATCCAAAGAGCAAACACAATGAACTCTCAGCATCCTCCACACAGGAACCAGTTCCTGGGGGCAAAAGAAAATAAGCTTCTAAAAGCAGGGGAAGCTTTTGGCAAGACCACTGCCTGGTGCTTGAAGGGATGAGCAAAAGAAACGCCTGGTGCCTTTTTCATGAGGGCACAGTTACTGTTTTTATTTTACCTGGCTTTCTAAAAGAAAAATCATGGTGCAAGAAATGGACTAAAAGGTTTTTTTTGGGGTGGAATATTATGGATCACACTCTGRATATGTCAAGTTGCACCRCCACATGTTTGATTAGRGACAAAYRTTCTAGGTAAATTAATTAATTKACTGTATTTTCATTGRATCACAGWGTGGTTTGGGTTGTAAGRGACCTKAAAGATCATYTTSCTCCAACCCCATTACTACRATGCTTTGTTTATAAAACCCCACATAACCACACTATGTTMTTTTCTTCACAAGAACCTCTACCAAAAGGCTAATTTTCCTATTTCAGCAACAATTATGTAAATTCTGAGAGATGAGGACAGTGGTGACAAATAAACCAGGAGATCCTGGATGGGCAGAGACACATGCAGCTTTCTCATCTCCCCACTATGTCCCAGATCACCATCAACCAAAGGCTATTACTTGCACTAAGTGAGTATTTTTCATAAGCAATTTGTTGACCAAAATATGGTCTTCCCCATCCCCAAAATGACAACAAATGAATTTCCGTGATGGGTCACTCCTGGGTTAGGTGGAGCTGGACATGATGGGAGCAGGTAAAGGTACAGGGCGTTTCCTTCTTCTTGCTCTGTAACAGCTCACAGTAACTCTACACCAATCCAGCATCACAAGAAATTATCTCAAACATACCTAAATATAATTTAGCTACATAAATAATTCTAAAAAATCYCATTAAGAGACTTCCATATTGCAATACTCCTGGAAATTTTGTGGACTCCTAAGAAAGACACGATCCAAAGCAGGAAGCAGCAGCTCAGCCTGGTGACAGCCAAGCAAAACCCTGAATGGATCTTGGCAATACCAAGTAACGGCACAAAATACCAGTGCTGCTTCTTCCCTCAAGGCTCCTTCCCCTTCCAAGCCCTGCTGCACTAAGGAATCAGCTGCATTTCTGGAAAATTCCCTTGAATTCCTGGAGTATTACAGCTAACCATATTTCCCCTTCATCTCAACACAGATGCTTTGAAGTTTTCCAGAGACACCCAAGGAAGAAGACACATCCAAATACCTAGACCAGCCCCAAASCCCTCCCTGGAACAGATGGTGGGGCTCTAAATACAGGCACATCTGGTAACCACTGGTATGAAAAAGCTGGCAGGCAACAGCTTATTCTGCTCTACTAAATATGCCATAATTTGAACTATRTTTAAACAGAAGTTAAAAAGAAACAATCATTTTGCTTGT